TGACATGGTCAAATAACCTAACCTAATTGGCATTTCTAGATCATTGCACCACCAATCTATAGAATGCGCATATTTTTAGAGTGCAGATTGAAATATTCAGTAAGATAGATCATATGCTGGGCTGTAAACAAATCTCAATGAATTTCAAAAGGTTGAAATTATGCACAGTGTATCTCTCTATAAAACCCTAATATGTAAATAGTCCAAGCAGCGGAACAATCAAACAACTGAACAATTGGTTGCTATGACGTGCACTGACTACCAGGGAGCACGTGTGGAACATGGTGGGCATCAGCCATGGCAGGATGGTGCAGCAGGTGAGTGGGGGTGCCAGACCAATGTAGGGCACAGGTTGCTATCATCAGGGTGAGGCTTTGGTGGTTCCTGAAAATTCTTTGCTTCCACACACCAGGCCCAGCCCGGCACTCACACTTGCTACCAGCACCAGCCCTGCTCGCACCTGCTGCTGGCACTGGAGCCACTGCTTGCACCTGCTGCTGGTGCCCTGTGCCGGCCCTGATCACCTGGCGCTGTCAGCAGGTGCAAGTGGTGGCTGCTGGCCCTGATCATCCCTGAGGGCTTCTCTCCCCCCCCCCCCCCCCCAGCTTCCCCCCTTCCGTTACTCCTGAGGGGTGATTGGGGCAGCATTTGCCATTTGCACCTGCTGATAGCACCGGCACCCACTGCTGGTGTTGGCCCCAATTGGTCCACACTGTCAGCGGGTGTGAGAGGGGTCAGCACAATCAGCACATGGGAGCAGCGGCAGTGGGAGCAGGACTGCAGGCAGACAGGGGACCAGAGGCTGCAGTAGGAGGGGCCAGGCAGAGGCACAGAGGCTGCAGTAGGAGGGGCCAGGCAGAGGCACAAGGTGCCACTACAACCTTGTGGCCCACAGTTTCTTTCAAGGTGCATGAATTCATGCACTGGGCCCCTAGTTTTTCCATAATAGAATTAAATTAGAAACCAGAAACAATAAATTATCTAGAAAATCTCCAAATATTTGGAAGTTAAACAGCACTGAGAACATGGTCAGGAAGAAATAACAAGAAGTTAGAAAATGTTCCAAATGGAATGATAATGAAAACAATGCAATGAACTGAGCATGTCCCCTCAGGTTTCATATGTCAAAATCCTAACCCCCAATGTGGTAATATTAGGAGGTGTGGCCTCTGGGAGGTAACTAGGGCATGAGGGTCAGCCCTCATGAATGGGATAAGTGCCTTTCTTAAAAGAGACTTGAAGGCTTGCTGTCTCACTCTTCTCTCTGCCATGTGAAGACACAAGGAAAAGGCAACCACCTGCCGAATCTGTGAATTATACAGACATTTAAAAAAGGAAAACATCGATTTCACCCAAACTTTTTCAGAAAATGTATAAACAGATAACACTTCCTAACTTGTGTGATTAGCTCAGCATACTAATCAGAGAAGATAAGAGAAATTTATGATTCTATATCTCTCATAAATACAGATCCAAAAATCTGCAACAAAATATTAGTAAATAAAGCCCAGCAATATTTAAGAAGGTAATTCATCATGACAAAGAGTTGATGGAACATTTGAAACCAATTTTTCGAGTTCACCACATTAACACAATAAAGAAGAGAAGTGGTAATCATATTAATAAATGTAGAAAAAGTATATGATAAAATTCATTAAACCCCAATTTATGATAAAAAAAAAAACTCTCAAAAAATTAGAAATAGAAGATAACTTGTCATACTTCTTGGCCTTTTGGCCAAGTTCATATCTTCAAGTGTAGAAGATAATGTTTCAGTCTGGTAAAATACATTTATGGAGAGGCCACAGCTGAAATTATACTTAATGATGACATTTGTATATCACTGAACAAAAGAAGGATGCCTAGCATATTATTGAATGGCCATCCTTGCCAGTGCAATATAGCAATGGACACATAAAGTGCGTGTGTCCCTTTCCCAACATAGCAAGGGGAAAGAACAAGAAATAAAGGACAAGATGGAATGGACCCACACACCGGGTCCAGCGCATGGCCACTGTGGTCACCACTGTCCCTGAGGCTGCCAATGAGGGAAGTGCATGTGACAGGATTCCTTTTATTTGAAGTTCTTCAGTATCCATTAAAAGTGATTTACTTTGCTTTCTGCCCTCTCACCACACCCCCCTCTGTACATGGCCCGACCCCCACATGCGGGCATTTGAGACCTTGTGTGGTTGGAGGATTGAGACAGGCTCTCTGGTCAGAGTGTAGGAGTGTCTTCAGGAAAAGAACTCGTATTGGGGCGTCTTGTTCATTTGGAAAATTGTATGATATTTATTGATTGTATCTATTGCCAATGTTTATATCCAATTCTAAGATTTCTGAAAACAATTCTTGTTCCTTGCTGCTCAGAAAAAGTTTGCTGAAGACACCAGTTCACTAAAAGCACTGAAATGTGCAGCGTCTGTGCTGCGTGACATCGCAGAGCTGAGCTTCTGACTGTGGGTTGCTGGGCCAGATAGGAGCCAGCATTGGCCTGGTTGAAGGTGGGCAAGGGGAGCATATTCAGCATTGCTCACTGAGTTTGGGTAGCACTCTGATGATTTGTTCACTTTAATAAAGACAGATTTGGGTAAAAAAAATTAAAAAAGAAGTAGAAAGAGATAAAAGGCATACAGATAGGATGAAAGAAAGATAGGATGAAAGAAGTGAAATTGTCTTTATTTGCAAATGACAAGATGTTTTTACATAGAAAAACTAATGAATCTACCAAAATATTCTACTAGAATTAATATGTGAAGGAGCAAAGCTGCAAAATACAAGGCCAATATATATACTAAAAATTGGAAAGTAAAAATTAAAATATGTCATATATAATGCCAAAAATAGTTAAGAATAAGTTTACTTTAAAAATACAAGCCCTCTATACTGAAATCTATAAAATATTGCCAAGAGAAATTAAACAAGACCAAAATAAATGAAGAGTTGTATTTGTGTTCTTGGATTGAAAGACTTAATATTCCTAAGATATCAATCTTTCCCAAATTGCTCTATAGGAGTCAGTGCAGTTCCAACCAACTGCTTCTAAAATGTATATGAAAATGCTGAAGTTCTAGAAAAGCCAAAATAATCATGTCAATGAATACCTAAGTTGGAGAACTGACATTACTTTATTTCAAAGTTAATATAAATCTGTGGTGATCAAGTGAGTGTTAAACTGGTATAATGGAACAAATCAGAGAAGACACACATATACAGTCATTGATTTTTACAAAGGTGGTAACACAATTGAAACAAAGAAAGGATTGTTCCAAAGGATCTCCCTATGTAATCCTTTGGGGAAAATGAAGCCTGATGCTCGAGCCATCTACTTGTATGAAGCAAATGAACTCACATCCCATAATTACACTACATATAAAATTAATTTGACATGAATTATAGCCTAAAAGTAAAAGCCTTAACTATAAAACTTCTGGAAGAAAGCAAAAGAGAATATCTTTGTAACCTTGGGGTAGACAAAGAATAGGAAGGGCACAAAAAATTCTAATCATGAAAGAAAAAACTAAAAAAAAAAAAAATGGTCTTTATCAAAATTAAAAACTGCTTTTCAAATGACAACATTAAGAAACTGAAAAGGCAAATCACGGATTTGGAGAAGACATTCACAATATGTACATCTGACAAAGGATTCATTTCCAGAATATATAAACTTCTATAATTCAATAAGGAAAAGCAAATAGCTCAAGAAAAAAAAAAAGACAATTCACAAAAGAAGGTATATATGAATAGCCCATAAACACATGAAAAATTATCTATATTAATAGCCATCATGGAAATGCAATTAATACCTCAATGAGATATTAGTTTATATCCACCATAACAGCAATTTTCAACTGGTGTGCTGCTACAAGAATTTTTAAAATATTCAATAACTGAACTCTGTTCCCTTAGATTGTCAAACAAAAAAATTTCAAGAGCCAACACAACAATATCTGTCCAGTGTTAATGAATCAAAGTTATACCTATTTTTTTTGTAAGATCAACAAAAAATGTACTTTTGGTGTTCCACAGAATTATGTATTAGTAATTATGTGTTCCATGAGATGAAAAAGGTTGAAAATCACTGCACTATAATAACTAACATTAAAAACAAAAAACCAATAAGTCTAATTGGTCAGCATGTAAAGCAACTTGAATTCTCATATATTGCTGGTGGGATCATGAAATGGCACAACTATTTTAAAAAAATGCTAGGCAATTTTAAATATAATTAAATGCCTACCCTAAGACCCAAAACCTCACTTCTATGTATTTACTCAAAGGAAATAGAGACATGCATCCTCAATAATGCTTTATTCATAACAATCCAAATACCCATCAACAAGTGAATGGATATGGTCATACAATGGAATACCAGCCAACAACAAGAACAGGAACAAGAATAAGAATGAGAACCACGGTAACAAGAAAAAAGAAATAAACCTTGTATACATGCAAGAAAATAAATGAATATCAAAATCTTTGAGCAGAAGAAACATACAAAAGTGTACATATTGTATGATTCAATTTATATGAAGTTCTAAATCAGGCAGAAGGAAGCTTTGGTGATAGAAATTAGATCATTGATTGTCTGGAGTGGGAGTGAGGATTAATTGCAAAAAGGCATGAAAGACTTTTCTGGGGTGATGGAAAAGTTCTGTATCTTACTTATGGTGTGCATTTCTAAAAACTCTTACACTTAGTTATACTTTTAAAACCTGTGCTTTTTATTGTATGCAAGTTATACTAAAAACTATACTAAAATTATACCAAAAGATTCCAGGACTATTAGTGATGACTTAGAGTGTTTGCTGGTACCTTGAATAGACGAAGACCCCTGCTCCATCGCCATGCACAGGTTAATCATGTTCTCCTTGGGCTGGAGGCAGCTGTAATGAGTAATCTAGTTTCTTTCTTACCACAAAACACTTAAATAACGGTAGAAAAAGGAATATTGGTCTAGCTGCCCCACAGTACTCTTCTGTGGCTTGCCTAATGACATCATGAAGATCCTTGAAGAATTTGGCTGGACAGTCCTGGGGCCCGTGACCCTGGCGTACTCCCAAGTAACTTGAATGCATTGACACTGACTTTTCTTTCCTTCCATACAGGAAATGCTGAAGGTCGAGGTGTGGACGCTCACTTACTGGAACTTCATGTACCACAACAAGCACATGTTCAAGGACAAAGTGGTGCTGGATGTCGGGAGCGGTACTGGGATCCTGTCCATATTTGCTGCCAAAGCAGGGGCCAAGAAGGTATTTGGGGTGAGCCACCCATCTCCCCACCTCTTCCCCCCCAGTCCCTCTCGGTGGCTTCAGCAGAGCTGGCCCTGCCCCTTACCTTCTCCGGCCCTTCCTAGTAGTACAAACCCTGATCCACCCCTCTGCTGAGGTCACACACTCAAAGAAAAAAATCAAGTGTGCCCCTCAGGACAGTCTCCATGGCTCCCTGGCATCACTCCTGGCCTCTTGTCCTGGTGATTGCTAACATTTGCAAAAGATTTTTGACTTTTCAGAAACCATTCCGGTGTCATCAGTGCCTCACAATGCTTGAAAAGCAGTGCAGCATGATTACACGTGTGAGTTCTGGCCTGAATCTCTGTGGAAGGCTCATGAGATGTGTGATCGTGGGCAATTCAAGGCTCTGTACCTCAGTTTCCCCAATGTATGAAATGGACATGAAAATAGTGTCTTGCCCATGAGGTCATTATGAGGCATGAAAAGTTTAACAGATATGTAAGGAGCCAAGAACAGAACCAGCATAGGACAGATGCTCAGTGTTTATTAGGATAGTCGGGATATGGCCCTAGGAGATAACAACAAGAAGACCCTCTGCTTTGTCCTTTAAAGGGCAACTTGGTAGATTTAAATTCTGGCTGCTGAAGCCTCTCTGGCCAGAGGTGGAGGCTGACCATCTGGGAACCTCCCAGCATTCCTCTGTGAAAAAGAGAGATCTGTGCTGCTGGCTGCCATTGAAAAAATGCAGCGGCTCTACAAGTGGAAATTTGGAATTAATATTGATCAAAACTCAAATTACAATAAAAAACTCATAGAATATGTACAGGCAGCCCCTTTGCAGAGGCTCCTGGGCAGGTTTCAGTGGGGCCTAATTCTCTGTCATTTCGCTGGGTCATGAGAACCTATCCCAAGAACCCCAGGCTCCTGGGTTGACTAGGACCCTCCAAATCCCCTTGGCCACCCCCCTTTAGCAGGGACCAAATTCCTTCTTCATGCCTCACCCGGAAAGCACTTGGGCCTTAGCTGTAGAGGGTATTCTGGAAACCTTAACCAGAAAAGCTGTAATGCACTCAGCTGAGGCATGTGGTTAGGGTATGGGGCCAATCTGATGCCCAAGGTCAAGTTCTGTCATCATCATAGGTGCTGCCCTTTCCACCTTCTGGCTTCCCTTGACAAGGCCCTGCTCACCAGGGTGGAGGCCTCCTGACCAATGCAGACTGCACTTCCAAGGAGCTCACACCAGCCGCAGAGCGGTGAGACTGCATGCTGACCCAGAGCGCCTTCCTCGCAGTGCTAACAGTGAGGCGCCAATTCAGCCCCAGTCTCTGCTAGGCACATGGGAGCAGAGAGCTGCCCAGGGAGAGGCTGGGCCACCTGTCACCACCTTTCAAGTCACTGGGGCTTCCAAGTTGGCAGGGGCTCCGACTAAGGTGCCTTCCAGCTATGATGATGGGTCCCAACCTGGCTGCCTCCCACTCTTCTGCTTTAACAGCTCTTTTATCAATATAACCAGCTCCACCACAGTTAGCCAGGCTCCTTTCAGTCTGGCTCATTTCACAGTTCAGTTTCTCCTGTTCCAGGCTCCCCTTTCCACCCACAGCTCTTCTCTAGTAGGGGAGCTGGGATGGCAGGAAAGAGAAAGGTGAGAGGGAGAGAGATAGGAAGGGAGAGAGGAAATTGACAGAGACAGCAGTTGGAGACAGTGAAATTGGGAGACAGACATGAAAGAAATGGAGAGAGAGACAGAAGGATGAAAAGACTCAGAGAAAAGCGAAAGGACTGGGAGAGGGACTAATAAAAAGGAGAAAGAAAAGAAACTAGAAAACAAATGAAAATGGGGGAAATGAAGAGAGAGTAAAGAACAAAGAAGGGAAAAGGTAAATGTAGAGGTAAGAAAAGATGGAAAGAATCTGAGTGCAACCTCATGTGTCCCATGTGTGTTTCATCCTCACATTGACCATATGAGCAGGACTTGTGACTTAATGAGGAAACCAAGATGTAGTTAGAAAGCGGCAGAAGCCACATATAAATCCAGGCATTCTGGTTCCAGGTCCCATTCTCCAAGGTTAAGCTCAGGATGAAAACATGGCAAGGGAAAGAAGAGGAGAGAAGCAGTCTTGCAGGAGCCTGGTAGCCCAGGAAAGGCTGGTCCTCTGGGATCTGAGCCTTGGCTAGAGTCTGCCTCCTCTACCAGAGTTTCCCTCTTTTGACCCTGTAGGTACCCTCATCTTACCTCAGGCTTTGAGGAGGCTGCCAGCAACCCTCAGTGGCCCTATGCAAATGCTCAAGGCACTGGAGCAGTTTGTGGTGGGGCCTGAGTGTGAAGGTGAGGTGCCCTGGATTTAGCACAGTCTGGTCTCTGTGGAGAGCCAGCTAAAGAGGTGAGAATAGCTCTTGGGCAGCTTCCCCTCTGTTTCCAGCACCATTGACCCTCTCCTGTGCTCCCACAATGGTCTTCTCTCAGCTGATGGTCAACTACCAACTACTCCCTCAAATACCTTAGGGTGTGGTAGGAAGATAATGTTGAAGGAGGCTCACAGCACCTCTGGTCGGTCCTACATCCTCTCTCGGGGGGATAGTGGCTGTGCCAACTCATCCAACGCTTCCCTGGTCCAGAGAATGAGGTCTGCCAGCTCTTCCAAAATCTCCCAAATTAGACACAGGCCTCCATGGTGAAGTAGAGGGTGGGCTCCAGCCTGGCAGCAAAGGCACCCCACAAGGTAGGAGGGCTGCACTGTAGATTTTAATCTGCCACAGATTAGCAGTGGCAGCTGTGGGCACATTATTGCACCCCTGTAGTCTCAGCTTCTCTGTCCCTTAACTTGGTGCTGTCTTATTTTTTATGTGTTGCTCCTTTGTTCTGTGCCTTTCTAGATTGAATGCTCCAGTATTTCTGACTACTCAGAGAAGATCATTAAGGCCAACAACTTGGACAACAGTAAGACATACCTCTATGTGTTTCCCCATGAATGGAGGGGGCTTTTACTTCCTTGTTTGGGTGGCAGAGAGTGACATGAGTTCCCTGAGCTCCCATGTCAACATTTACAAGTGAATCAGAGAAGTGAGTTGTTTTTTTTTTAAGGACAGGAGATACGAAAACATGTGTATGATTCAATGGTCCAGTAGAGAGGAAGAACAAAATTGCAGACACAGGAAAAGGTAAATTTAGGAGCAAAGACCTTGAGAAGGTAAGAGGGCCTGTGGTGCAAAGCACAGTTGGAGGGTTGACCTTTCTCTTGGAGTAGAGACAGTTTAACCACAGTAACAGAGGGAAAGGGGTGAAAGATGTGGGTTCAAATGGAACTGGGGCAATGATGGGAAACCTTTGCTTTGTTGCTTCTATTTTGTCAATGAAGAATGAGAAAGTCATTGGTGGGAGAGTGTAAGTGTTTTGGGAGATGAGAAAAAATAGAATGGTCTTTTAGAGAAGGCAGGGAGGGAAAGCTAACACCGTGGCTAGTGGGGATGGCTGGGGGCCAGCAGCCTTGTTAGAGGTGTATAGACATAATTATGCATTGAGCTCAATGCTCCTACTGTGCTCAGCAGCCTTGGTGCAGTGGAGGGGACAGCTGCCTGGGTGGGGGCCCTGCTGGGAGGACACACAGAGGGAGGGAGGAACCAGAGTTAGAATAATGAGCCTTGAAATCTGAGCTGGGTGAACAAGGAGGTGAGGGAGTGAAGAAGCACAGATAGGTGACTGCTAGTGAAAAAGGTTAGGGGTGGTGGGTGAGCAACACCTGTGGGGCCATGAGCAGAGCCAGCATCCAGAGGCCTCTTTCCAGCCTGGATAGAGGAAGTGTTGCTCAGATAAAATGACTTAGGGCTTGCCATTCAGTACCCGAGATCTAGAGTTTGTCATTCAACCTGTCTTGGTTCACTTAGGGCCGGATCTTTTCTGTACACCCTTCAGGGAAGTACTTGAGCTGGATAGAAGTGACGCGAGGTGACCTCCCCACTGGCCTACTAAAGATGGCAAAAGAAATCGGTGGGTTTTCTCTGCAAGGGAAAACACCTGTGTGTTTTCATCTGACCTCCCTTTCCCCAGGTCTGTGAAGTAGGACAGGTGGTTTCCCATTTAACAGATGTGGAGATTGAGGACAGGAGATGTGGGGCAGAGCCTTTGACTTCACCTCTCACTCCAGTACTCTTTCCTAAAGTTGATGTGGAAGCCCATCAATTCTGAGTGCCTGCCAATTCTGGAAATGAAAATGAAAATAGATGTAAAGGCGGATTTCCTGTCAGAGTTATTGAGTCTCAACTCTGGGCTCTGAGGGGCCTTCAAGGAACATTTAAGAATCCCCCACTCTGCCCAGGCTTTACATGCACAGGGATTCCTGCCCATTGAATGTCTGCCCAGCCTCTTACTCTTCACCTGTCTCTATTGCCTCTGGGTCTTGGAGTCTGGAACTGTAGCCTCCAGGCTCACCTCCCTGCTCTGGCTAACAGAGGACCACTGTGCTGCAATGTTGGTAGCAGAGTGTGGGGTGAGAGGAACTCACAGAAGCAGATAGATCCCTGAACTTCAGGAGGAGAGAGGTCTGATGCTGAGACTTGCCAGGAAAAGAACTGCTCAGCCCCTGACCACCCCTTCTGATTCACACTTCATGGTCCCCACCTCCCTTCCCTGCCTCAGACTCCTATAACTCCTTAAAATTCCCCTCCCCTTCCTTTTCCTCTTCTTTCTTGTAGCCTGTAAAACATTCCAATTGACAAATACAACTGTGGGTTTTTAGCTATTTGCGAGTAAGTTGTGACATGGTGCCCAATCATCCCTGAACACATGAATGGACATGGCTACAAACACGGGCATTTGTTTATATAAACACAGGGAAGCCATTGAAATCAAGAGAGTAACGTGAATATCTTGTCGTTATCTAGTACTCAGATCCTCATCACATCCTGCCAGTTGTTTCCATCATACACACAGCAAAGGAATTCAATTCCGGGCACTTGTCAACGAGTCTCTCTTTCCTCCAGGCTGGGACAGACTATCCACCATTTGGTAGCCTTCGACCACAGGCCGTGTTCTGTGGATGCCCCTCAGTTTGGGCTGTGTGAGTGTGGCTCTTCCTCGGTGATGCACCTGCGGGAACAGCAGTCCCACACTGGTTCTCCCTGTGCACTGGCATGCAGTTTGGGTTTCCTGGTTCCTGACAGCATTGACTTTGACCATGTAGTTCAGGCAATGTCTGCTAGGCTTTCTCATGGTCAAGTTGGAAAGTATGAAGTGAGCCTGAAACATCCATGCCCCTATGAAGTGAGCCTGAAACATCTTTCCCCCTTTGTAGTCAGTAAGATTTTCTGGGACAGGTACTTCAAAACCATGTAAATACTACTATTTCATTCCTCGTCATTCATTTTCAATTTTATTCAATAGACTGTATTTATTATTATCAGTACTTACTTTGATTCTCAAATTTTCCCTGATTTGGCCACTGGAGCATCTTCAAGCTGGTTTCTAAGTTCCTTTGACATGATTTCTTCACTTCCTGTGAGTGTTCTCATATTCTGGCATGGATGTTTCAGGCTCACTTCATACTTTCCACACCTCTGTTCCAGGACCAGCCTTCTCTCCAAGCCTTGATTCCATTTAGTGGACAGTGGCATTTAGAAATGAGGACTCGGGGCTAAGTGTGCTTCCTGACTGCAGGGTGCAGATGCTCCTAGGCTATCTCAGAAGAAAGAATGTGTGTGTGTGTGTGTGTGTGTGTGTGTGTGTGTGTGTGTGTACATACATACTTATTGAACATGCATTTTTACATCTATCTGCACATATTGTCAGTATGAGTCCATTTATCATACTTCTCCACTTCTAATCCAGCATCACAGTGTATAGCTTTCGCATTCCCATGCTTGTGCCTCATTTATCAGAGCATGAAACTCTGGCTCCTGTTATTCTGCATGTGTTTATGTACTGGATCAATCCCTTGTGTGTAAACAACCTCCCATTGTCAGCACCTCCTGCCCCTGCAGATGCTTCTGTCACCTGGTGCTGGGCTCCAACACCCTATGCCAGGCAGTTGCCCACAGGGCACCCTCCCTTCCCTGCTCAGGCTCCAGTTGGGCCCCTGCAGCCCCCCCCCCCCCACTTTCCCACACCACAGTGTCCTGCTCTCCCACTCTGGCTCTGATGTACTGTGCTGGCTGCTGTCACTGCGCAAGCTTCAACACCTCAAACTGGAGTGAGCATCTACCCCCCACCCCTCCTGAGGCAGCACAGGGGTCTGGTTTGCTCAGCCCCACGTGATGGCTTTAGAATGGACTTGTTCCATGCTTCTTATGTTGACGGCTCACACTTGATTCTGTCACTGAAGCAAAGGCTAAGAAGGACAAACAATTGTCCTCAAGTAAATAGCCAGCCCTGTGCCCCATGCCCTGTCCTCGTTCCTGCCCCTCACACATACTGTGCCCAGGAGGACGGGCCTTTAGAAGACAGAGCTGCTTTCATCTCTGCCTCCTCAGGTAGCAACAGTGGGTGGAGGGGAGAGGTGGCCAGGGTCCTGTCAGCTGCACAGCTCATCCAGCCTTGGCATGTGAACTAGAGAGGGGACAGTTTAACTGCACAAATGCTTCCATGAAAATGCTTTTGAAATTCTGTGTCAGCCAGCATTTGTGTGTGTCTCTGGAGTGTAGGTGTAGAGACATAAATAGCAACACAGGACATAAAATACCTGCCACCCAGCATCAATCAATCTCACTCCCTCTCCCCTCCACACAGCTCCTCAGGATGGATTCTTTCCATCCAGCCATGCAGCTCCATGAAGCCATGCAGCAGCCATGCAGCCCTCACACAGTTGCTTCCACGTGCGTGGCCCCCACACAAGCCCACAGCCTCCTCTCTGACTTGGGCTCCAACAACTATTATTTCCTCTCTTTCTCTACCCAGGAAACCAGTGGGCTGCTGCTATGCTTAAAAAGGTAGATTCACTTGTAAATGTTGACATAGGAGCTCAGGGATTAACACAATTTTATTAGTTCTAGAAACAAAAGAAATATACCCTTTTTATTTCTCAGAAAACAAAAGGTAAGAAAGCATATCCCTTCTTTCTCTTTTACTGGTGCATGTCCTAAAACACACCTGTCATGGATGGAAGGGGCCTGAGCTTAGCATGACCAGAGTGGCAATGGACAGAGAGGCCTCTGCTACATAACTTCAGGGGGGACATTGGCACATTGCTTCACCTTTCTGAGCTCAGCTTGCTCCACGTAGAGGAGATATGTCCATGAACAGCTTGCAGGGTGCTGGGGGATCAGGCACATCAAGTGCCTGATATGGGGCTTTCTGGGTAGTAGGTGCCTACCAAAAATGAGCTTTGCTGGCCACATAGCTCCAAGGCTTTTATTGATGCTACTTGAACTCTCTGCTCTGCAGCAGTCCTCTGTGCTCTGTAGTCATCCAGTCCAGGATGATTTCTTGGACGGGGTCTTCTGAAAGCCATGGCTGTTAGGAAGCACCACCTTCCAATGAGAGGCATTCTCCTCCCTGGGGGTTTCCCACTCAGTGCTCCTTTGGAGCCAGATGGAGTGAGGAAGCTCCTTCACATGGTTGCCTTCCTCCCATATCTCTGGGCAAATCCTTTCCTCAGTTCCTTTACCCTTTGTGCTGGTCTGAGTCACCTTTTCTTCTGCCCATGCCTCTGTATCTCTCTCACACTTGGACAGTCAGGCTAAGAAACAAGCACAGCCAGGCGACGGCCCAGATGCTGCACTTGGAACAGTGTGGCTCCGGTTCCATTAGCAGTTATGGGAGAGGCTATGTCACATTGGTGCAGAGTCAGAATCAACTACATTTGCCTACTGGCAAGTTATAGCTCTCAACCTGTATCTGCTGTGTGGATGTTTTGAATCCAAATTGAGTCCCACTCTTATTTATATTAAACATCACATTATTAGATCTGGTCCTTCCTTTCAGAGCATCACTCTCCTAAGGTCATTGTTCCCTGCTTGATGTTACTTGTATATTGAATAGATGCCCAGGGGTGATGCGGATGTTTCTTCAGGCTGGTTCTCACTCAGCTCCTAATCTGAGTGAGATAAGGGGGGGGGGGGGGGGGGGTGTAAGAACACATGTAAAATAATAATGAGAGAGAGAGAGAGAGAGAGAGAGAGAGAGAGAGAGAGAGAGAGAGAGAGAGAGAGAGAGAAGAAAGTGTGAGGTAACCGGAACTCCAAGAACACCTGAGAACACCTTTACTGCCATAGTAGCAGTCATCAGCTGTACAGTAATATAACCTGGGACTATTGGGTAAGTATTTCTGGACTTATGTTCCTAATCCTTCTTGGGTGGGAGCCCTTATCTAGGCTGATCTTTCTGCCCAAAGTAGTCACTGATGATAACAAACACCTTGGTCATCCAGGAGGACCATGGGTGAGACAAGGAAGTATAATTACATAGGGGTCACCACCCAGCTGCCCTTCTGTATGACACAAAATCAAACCGCTATTCCTTTGTGTGTAAAATTAAAGAGAGGTTTCTGGCTTATGAGGACACCAAAGGAAGGGACCATCACTATTTCCCCCTGGGAGAGGTGCAGAAAATGTCACAAAGACCTTGTCTATACAAAAAAAAATTGACAGCCAGTTTAAAATTGAATTGCCATGGCCTAGACCAGGGCTCGGCAACCTTTAAGACATAAAGAGCCACTTGGACCCTTTTTCGAAGGAAAAAAAAAAACCTGGGAGCCACAAAACCATTGCGACATTTAAAACAAATATAACACTGCATATATTGTTTCTTACCTTAATGCTATATACTGGATCATGCAGTTAGCTGTCAATCTGAAGAAAAAAAGGACTTTTCCACTTAACAATGTAAAATATATTTTTGCAAATTAATAGCTAATTAAAATATTTAATTTACCTGGTTAATGGGATTTTTGCTCCTGAACCTCAGTGCACAGTGTCTGCACATCAGGGCTGTAAGACATTACCTTCATTTTCACACAGGCTTGCAAGTTATCATCTGTGAGGCGTGATCGATGTTTGTTTTTAATATAGTTCATGTTGGAGAAGACCTGCTCACATACATATGTGGAGCCGAAGATCGACAGGACTCCAAATGCATACTTTTTCATGTTTATATAAGTGTTGGGGATGGCATTCCATGTTTCAAACACAAGTTTGTCCTGTTTGGGAAGGTTTTCAATATCACTCCATTTATGATTCTGAGCCAGAATGGCCTTCTGACGGGCAACATCCTCAAGAGTACCGGCCAAGCATTTGAACTTGGACACCCATATATCTTTGTTGGCTATATCGGCCAGTTCCATCTCAAGATCAGGTTGACTTACACCTGTGAATGCAGTTATATTCAATAGGAATGGATCGATCGCCAGGGGAGTGACAGGGAAGGATAATGTGTTTTTTTCCTCTCTGAACTCACAGAATCATTTCCCAAACGAACTTTGCATTGTGGTGATTGCAGACTTCAAATATTACAAATTTATCATATCATGACTTTGTTTGAACTCTCTCTAAGAGCGAAAATGAGACAGTGTACCTCTCTGTAAATCTTTGACAAACACTGTCAACTTATGCTCGAATGCCAAAACCTCCTCCAGCCTGTGCAGGGCTGTGCCTCCTTTCCCCTGAAGGGTTGTATTTAGTGTGTTTAGATGTGCTGTCATGTCTACCATAAAATGTAATTTTTCCAGCCACTCTGGTTGTTCCAGCTCAGGAAAGGTGAACTCTTTGCTGGCCAGAAAAGTTTTTACTTCTTCCAAAGATGAGACAAAGCGTTTTAGCACCTCGCCTCTGGACAGCCACCGGACCTTGTTGTGGAGCAGGAGGTCAGAATATATGCTTTCCACCTCATCCAATAGCAAACGGAACTGGCAGTGGTTTAAACCCTCTGCCATTATCTTATTAACAATCTGAATGACCACATCCATCACTTTTGTGCATTCCGGGGGAAATGTTTGAGCACACAATGCCTCTTGGTGCAGGATGCAATGAAATGAGAGCAGCGTTCTACCCAGAGCCTTCTGCAGTAGAGCCACAAAGCCCTTCTGTGCTCCTCTCATGCTCGGTGCCCCATCAGTAACCACTGAGACCAGGTGGTTGGTGTTTATTTTTTCGGCACTTAAATAGTCCAGGACAGCCTTACAGATATCCTCACCCCTTGTTTGGCCATAGTCCGGGGAGGAGGCAGCACTCCCCATGGCACTGTAGAGCAAGTCCCCGTGCAGCTCCGGGAAGATGACAGGGGCAGCGGGGTCCGGAGCCACCGGCAGCACCGCATCCTTGCAGCTCGGCTGCGCAGCCAGGATGTTGTCGATGCTGAACATGCTGGCGGGCATCCCCGAGCCCCGCACGGGGCCAGGACCGGGACTGGGGGCACGCGGGGGAGGAGAAGCGCCTCAGCGTGGGGGGGTCCACGCCTCCGGAGCAAACCGAAAGAGAGAGCCGGTGAGTGCAGCTGCTCCCTCCCCACCCCAGCCCCTGCACCCGCCTCAACAAGTCACCTTTTAAAAAAAAAAAAAAATTCATCAGGCCCCCAATATTTTGTAAATTAATTAGTGAGCCATGCATGCCATAAAAATAATTCATCAGGCCCCCCAATATTCTGTAAATTAAATTAAGTAAATTAAATTTAAAAATGTAAATAATAATTTAATTAATTTATTTATTTAAAAAAATTTATATAATAGCCACAAATTTCCTACAGTGTACATCTTACAAAAGGACCTGTCTCCCATGCTTAACCAACAACAAAAATTAGTATTAGAGGTAAGTGATACAGCTCCCTGCCCGCCCCCTGCTGTTGGCCCTGCTGGGAGCCGCAGCAAAGGTTCAAAAGAGCCACATGCGGCTCCAGAGCCGCAGGTTGCCGACCCCTGGCCTAGAACAAAGAATATCTTTACATGATATTATTCTACAACACAAAATGAAATAACATTCGCTTCATGGGGATACCAGGAAGAAAAGAAGAGAAACAACGAAGAGAAAACCTGTTTGAAGAAATAATGACAGAAAACTTCCCTGATATTTGCAAGAAAAAATCTATCCAAGTCCAAGAAGTACATAGAGTCCTAAACAAGTAGACCCCCAAAAGACCGACACCAAGACACATCATAATTAAATTGGCGAACATCAACGACAAAGTAAGAATCTAAAAGGCTGCCAGAGACAGAAAGTTACCTACAAGAGATCTATTAGAATATCAATTTATTTCTCAACAGAAACACACTTGGCTAGAAGGGAATGGAATGAAATATACAAAGTGATGCAAAGCAAGGAACTGAATCCAAGAATATTATACCCAGCAAGGCTATCATTCAAAATTGAAGGTGGAATCAGAAGCTTCACAGACAAAAAGGGCTAAGAGAGTTCTGATCAATGTTACTCAGTCTCTGAGTCTGTTCTTGTTCATCAGTCTATGCCATTCATTATATTCCATAAATGAGTGAGATCATGTGATGTTTATCTTTCTCTGCCTGGCTTATTTCACTTATGCTCTCCATCTCCATCCATGTTGTTGCAAATGGTAGGAACTCCTTTTTTAACACAGCATAGTATTCCATTTAGTAGATGTACCACAGTTTTTTAATCCATTCATCTGCTGATCGACATTTAAGCTGTTTCCAAATCTTGGCTATGGTGAATTGGGCTGCTATGAACATAGGGGTACATATATCCTTTCTGACTTCTGTTTCTAGTTTCTTGGGATATATTCCTAGAAGTGGGATCATTGGGATAAATGGGAGTTCCATTTTTAGTTTTTTAAGGAAACTCCATACTATTCTCCACGGTGAATGCACCAGTCTGCATTCCCACCAGCAGTGTAAAAGAGTTCCTTTTTCTCCGAATCCTCGCCAACACTTGTCATTTGCTGATTTGTTGATAGCCATTCTGACTGGTGTAAAATGATACTGCAGTGTTGTTTTGATTTGCATCTCTCTGATGCTTAATGACTTTGAGCATGTTTTCATGTGTGTCTTGGCCTTCCTTCTGTCTTCTTTCAAAAAGGATCTATTTAGATCAGTTGCCCATTTTTTGATTGGGTTGTTTATCTTCTTTTTGTTAAGTTGTATGAGTTCGCTGTAAATGTTGGAGATTAAACCCTTATCATTGATAACGTTGGCAAATATGTTCTCCCATGCAGTGGGGTTTCTTGTTGTTTTATTGATGGTTTCCTTTGCTGTGAAAAAAGCTTTTTATTTTAATGTAGTCCCATTTGTTTATTTTCTTTGTAGCTTCCATTACCCTAGGAGCAGTATCAGTGAAGAAGTTCTTTCAACATATGTCTGAGGTTTTCCTGCCTGTGGATTCCTCTAGTATGTTTATAGTTTCCCGCCTTTTTTTTAAATATATATTTTATTGATTTTTTTATGATTTTAAATTAATTAATTTATTGATTTATTTTTACATATTTTATTGATTTTTCCCCCTCCCTCCCTCCCACACATCCCCTCCCTCCCCAGAGCTTTATGTCCATTGGTTGTACTTATATGCATGTATACAAGTCCTTCAGTTGATCTATTATCTCCCCCAGTACCTCCTCCCCTCCCCGCTGAAATTTGACAATCTGCTTGTTGCTTTACTGTCTCTGTATCTATCTTTTGGTTCATCAGTTTATAATGATCTTTATTATCCACAAATGAGTGAGGTCATGTGGTGTTTCTCTTTCATTGATTGGCTTATTTCACTCAGCATGATTCTCTCCAATTCCATCCAGGTTGCTGCAAATGATCAGAATTCCTTATTTTTTATGGCAGCATAGTATTCCATTGTGTAGATGTACCATGGTTTTTGGATCTAATCATCTGCTGACGGGCAACTAGGCTGTTTCCAAATTCTGGCAATTGTAGATTGTGCTGCTATGAACATAGGGGTGCATATATCCTTTCTGATTGGTGTTTCTAGTTTCTTGGGATATATTCCTAGGAGTGGGATTACTGGATCAAATGGGAGTTCCATTTTCAGTTTTTTGAGGAAATTCCACACTGTTCTCCAAAGTGGTTGCACCAGTCTGCATTCCCACCAGCAGTGCACGAGGGTTCCTTTTTCTCCGCAACCTCACCAACACTTGTCGATTGTTGATTTGTTGATGTTGGCCATTCTGACAGGTGTGAGATGGTACCACATTGTTGTTTTGATTTGCATCTCTCGGACAATTAGTGACTTTGAGCATGTTTTCATGTGCCTTTTGGCCTTCCTTCTGTCTTCTTTTGAAAATGTTCTATTTAGATCCATTGCCCATTTCTTAATTGGATCATTCACCTTCCTTTTATTTAGTTGTATCAGCTGTCTGTAGATGTTGGAGATTAAACCTTTATCAGTGGTGTTATTAGCAAATATGTTCTCCCACACCATGGGCTTTCTTGTAGTTTTGTTGATGGTTTCTTTTGCTGTAAAAAAGATTTTTATTTTGATGTAGTCCCATTTGTTTATTTTCTCTTTAGCTTCCATTGCCCTATGGGCAGTATCAGTGAAGAAGTTCTTTTGGCATATGTCTGAGATTTTGCTGCCTGTGGATGCTTCTAGTATTTTTATGGTTTCCCGTCTGATGTTTAAGTCCTGCATCCATTTTGAGTTTATTTTTGTGTATGGTGTAAGTTGGTGATCTAGTTTCATTCTTTTGCATGTGTCTGCCCAATTTTCCCAACACCATTTATTGAAGAAACTGTCTTGACTCCATTGTATATTCGTGCCTCCTTTGTCAAATATTAATTGAACATAGTGATTTGGGTTGATATCTGGGTTCTCAATTCTATTCCATTGATCTATATGTCTGTTCTTGTGCCAGTACCAGGCTGTTTTGAGAACAGTGGCTTTGTAATACAGTTTGAAGTCTGGTATTGAGATCCCTCCTACTTTACCCTTCTTTCTCAGGATTGCTGTGGCTATTCGAGGTATTGGGTGCATATATATTTACCAGGGTTATTTCTTCTTGTTGGATTGTTCCCGTTAGTATTATGAAGTGGCCTTCATTATCTCTTATTATGTCCTTCCCTCTGAGATCTAATTTGTCAGATGTAAGTATTGCTACCCCAGCTTTTTTTTCATTTCCATTTGCCTGGAAAACTTTTTTCCATCCCTTCACCCTCAGTCTGTGTGCATCTCTTTTTCTGAGATGGGTTTCTTGTAGACAACAGATGTATAGGTCTTGTTTTCTTATCCAATCTGTTACCCTATGTCTTTTGATTGGAGCATTTAATCCATTTACATTTAAGGTTATTATTGATAAGTACTCATTTGACGCCATTTTTATTCTATACCCATGTTCCTTCTTCACTTCTTATTTCTTTATTTTTACAGTAGACCCTTTAGCATTTCTTGCATTGCTGGTTTGGTGGAGATAAATTCCTTCAGTCTTTTTTTGTCTGTGAAGCTCCTGATTTCCCCTTCAATCTTGATTGATAGCCTTGCTGGGTACAGTATTCTTGGATTCAGACCCTTACTTTGCATGACTTTGTATATTTCATCCCATTCCCTTCTGGCCTGATAAGTTTCTGTTGAGAAATCAGTTGCTAGTCTGATGGGGGTTCCTTTGTATGTAACTTTCTGTCTCTCTCTGGCTGCTTTTAAGATTCTTACTTTGTCGATGTTGTTTGCCAATTTAATTATAATGTTCCTTGGCGTCTGTCTTCTGGGATTCATTTTGCTTGGGACTCTACGAGCATCTTGGATTTGTGTGATTTTTTTCTTCTCTATTTCAGGAAAGTTTTATCATTATATCTTGAAATACTTTTTCCATGTCTACCTCACTTTCCTTTCCTTCTGGAACCCCTATTATTCGAATATTATTTTGTATTGTATTCTCCCAAAGCTCCCGTAGGCTCTCCTCCTGCTTTTTAATCTTTTTTTCTAGATGTTGCTCTACTTGGGTATTTTTTTCCATCTTATCTTATAGCTCACTGATGCGGTCCTCTGCTTCATCTAGTCTACTCTTGATGCTTTCTATTGAGTTCTTCATGGTAGCGATGTCATTTTTCATTTCTTCTTGGTTCTTCTTCAGTTCCTCATGGCTCTCCTTCAGTTCCTCATGGTTCTTCCTCATTTCTTCTTGGCTATTGTCAAATTTCTCTTCCATTCTTTTTAGCCATCCTATGATCATTACTCTGAATTCTTGCTCTGGTAAGCTGCTTGCCTCTGACTCGTTTACTTCCTTTTCTAGTGATGCCTGCTTTTTTCTTTCACATGCGGACTATGTTTTTGTCTCCCCATGGCCTCTCTTTTCAGGATGTCTGGTTATGTGGTGTTCCTTCTCCTGCATTGATTTAAAGGTACAAAATACAACAATACCAGGCACAACACAAGAGGCACTTAACCGGAATGTATTTACAATA